CGACATAGAATGATGGATTCATCGGTAAAATTTGATATTAATAAAAGCGCAAGGTTTGAAATTGGAAAGAAAATGTGAGAAAAGTCACTGCTTCATTCGTAGAACTTCGCTTTGGATTATTTTGGAAGCAAACAGCTTCTGCCAACTAAATTTGGACGTGAATTACTTTGTATACTTGATGAGCCGTGGATTTCCCTTTCTTTTGCGGGTATCCTTTCTGATTTTGTGTATCCAAATTTTGACAAATGTAGGATTTGATGGAAACTTATGGAAAGACACGTCCGCCAGTGAATAGGAATTATTTTTATGAATAGGCACACTACACACAATCACCATTGTAAGGAAAAAACCTTGAAAACACCGAGGAAATAATAGTTTCTTTCAAAAGTCTTGTCTACAAACCACTGTCAACGGCTGTCAACCATTGTTTTCATACTTTTTTGGCGTCTGACAGTTTGATGCCAGAGAGAGAGGTTTTTAAATTAGGCAATCTCAATCACGTGATTTTATAATGGCCGTTCGGGTCAAATATTCCGGTGATAAGCCGGTGACGTTCATAAGGAGAGCATTTGTGTTCTGGGGTCGTATTTTCGAAACCATTCGAATGCCATTCGTATACGAAATAAGGCGAAATTCGCATGAAAATTGAGGTTCCGTATTTTCGAATCACTTTCGAACGGTGCGTACACGATTTGATTAGTGTACGTTTACTCGAGTGGGTCTCTACCAGTCGAATGTCACATTTCGCATACGATTTTACTTGATTCTGCGCATTGTTTGGAATTTTGAAGTCCTCAAGTCCTTATTATTTTGTTTATATACGTTACATTTGTTGTTTATGTACCTAAATACGTTGTGCAAATTGAAAATTGTGTTCGTTGTTCGTTCTCCTTTTGACTTTTCATTCGTTTCCAAATAATTTGTGGATTAAATTGTCCTGCTTTATTAAAAGACAGTTTTTGGAATGGCTGGCTTGGATTATTTAATCGAAAGAAATGTTACTGATGCCGTCGAAGAAGCGGAAATACTGACAGATCATAGGGATAGGGTGTTACATCCCTTTCGTGATCCGCTGGAAGAATATTCGGCTATTCAGCTCCGAAAATTATATTGCCTGACGAAGCCACTCACCTCGGAGTTGATAGAGCTTTTAGAGCCCCATCCAAAAACCATGATTGTTCGTTAACGTTATAAAAAACAAGGACGTTCAAGGAAATCCCAACAAGGTGCACAAAATTTATTTCAGCAAGATCTATACCAGCGAAATCGACTCAATAATACTTGATAAACCTCGTGATAAACTCAGTGGATAAACTCAATAAACAGCCACAAAATAATGCACTATTTGTAACATTAATAAAAACAACAGTTTTAGGTATAAGAACTCAAATAATTCACAATAAGTACTTTTTAAAACTCATAACACCATTTGACAGCAAATAAGCAAAGGGTTTATGTGCCTCTTGGCGACCATATTAATTTTAGTTTGACAGCATCTTGGACAGTCTAATAAGTCAGATGTCAAAAAATTCTTCTTCGTTTTTGTATCAATCGAAATGGCCATTACCAAATACTCGAATTTGCGACGATGCCAACGCAAATGATACTCGTATACTATATCATTTTCGAAGGGCCTTCAAAAATACGCATTTTAGTTCGTACACGACTTTTTTCATTCGAATTAGATCGCATGCGAAAGAATTCGCATGGTTTCGAAAATACGACCCCGCCCTTGTTGCTTTCGAAGTGAATTTTATGTGTTTCTACGTATTTTTCATTGGTTTTGGTCATATTGTTGTTTTCCTAGTGAATTTTATAGTTTTTAGTATGTCTACGTATTTTTTAGTGTTCTGGCCGTTGTTTACAAAGTGAATTTTATAGTATTTATAATGTTTCTACGTATTTCAATTTAATAATAAATTCTGAGATGGAGGGTGAATATCTTAAGGTATTATTATTAAGGGAAAATCGAGCCTCTGTTAGATCCTTTCTTTTGATTGCAGCAATCCATAAAGCCCTGCGTTGTTTTGATAATTCACTTTTGTAGATCAAAAGCCGATGATTTAAAATAGCAGGAACTGAATAAAATTTCACATTAGCCCTGTTACCTCAACTTCCACACCCAATTACGATGCAAATCGCTGGCATTTTATTTAACACAATACGTAAACACACAAAATCTGATAATTCAAATCTTGACGTTTGTCCAGAATGTGACAGAAGTCATTGGCTTGACCCAATGCTTGACCCGAACTTCCATATTCATGGCGTTTCCGAATTTCGTTTTTGACAGGTCAGTAGATTGCCTAATTGAAAAGGTCAATTAGCTCTGGGGCGCGTTCACAGTGGTTTTCCCTGGGTAAAACTTATTCAGGTTAAATATTTCACTGGTTGAAAAGGAAGCGCTTGGGATAACAAATCCGTGAACGACTAACGCCTGCGCCATAACGAGGTAGGATTTGATTTTGTTTTCCATTTGTTTACATATGTTGTGTTTCGAATGTTTCGAGATGGATCCGGGAATAATATTTTTTAAAAGTACTATTGAAACTTCTTCGGATTCGTCTGATACAGAGGAAGAAGTCAGCTATGCTGTAGCACAAGCTGCATGTGCTAGGCTGCATGTGCTAGCGCTAGCAGTTTATGTTCAAGCCTGAAAAAAGGCATATTGAAAGACAGGATAATTTTATGGCAACAATACGCAATTATAGCGATAAGGAGTTTCAGGAAAATTTTAGAGTTTCCAGAGAAGCTTTCAACTGGCTTCCTGGAAAACTTGAAAACCAGTTGAAGTCAGCAATGCATGGCCCAGAAAGATTACCAACAGTATTTATTGTTTATCAAATTTCAAATATTCTTGTAAAACGCCTGCGCGACAAATTTTACCCATGTCTCAGAGTGGGTTAAAAAGTTGTACAACCGGGTAAACTTATCATGGCTCTGTGAACGGAGCAAATATTTTAACCGGGTGAATTAGGTAGATCCGTGAACGACTTACAGCCGTATTCACCAACGACCGCTAACTGCTTATCAGTCTGATAAACTGCTTGTCAGACTGTTAACGTAAAATTCGGTATTCACCAACCTTGAGTAGTAGATATCAGTCTGATAAAGTTGTCAGGCGAAATTTGGGCTGTTAAGGAAGTTATCTGTCTGATAAGTGTTATTGTTATTGTTTTTTTTTCAAAAAAAAATCGAATGTATCCATAAATTGGAAAGAAATGGATGGTTCGTTAAATTTTAATTTGTGGTAGGTATTTTATAAGTTTTTATTTATTGGAAAAATGAACAGAATGGGTGAAATTGACCTGAATTTTTTTGGAGGTTCATTGGATTATCCATATATCAGATGAAGATCTTCCCAGGCCCAGAAATGTGAGGGCAAGAATGATTTATTCACTGAATTGGATGATTTGGAGTTTCATAAAAGATGCAGAATAAACAAACATAGCTTTCAAGGGCTGAAAATAAACCTCTGAACACTGAACCTAGTCTTGGAGCCATTGCGGACGAAAGGAATAAACCAATTTAAAAGAAATAAGATTTTAATTGCAACGACGGGGTCTTTTCAACTTTGTATTGCGGTGACCATTTTAATGTTTCACAACAATCACAACCAACTGCATTAGTTTTCTTATTCCTGATTAAATATTTCTCAACCGGAGAAATTAGAATCTCCTTTTTGCGACCAGAAAAGTTAGCTGCTCCGTTTCTTTTTCCATTTGGTATTCGTATAAGATAGTTAATTATTATTAGACAAATTATTAGGATTAGGAAGTTGTTTACTTGTTTCACAGCCCAAAAAAAGTTATTATTAATAAATAAATATAATACAGACAAATTTTGAGGTTGTTAAATGAAATGAAGAGAAAAACTGTTCATAGAATATATGGATTTTTATATTTATCAGTCTGTTTGTTGTCAAAAGGACCATTTTTATTGGTGACTAGCACTTGCTGTTATCCGACTGATAAATGTTAACAGACTGATAGCTATCAGATAGCTAAGTTGATTTTGGTGAATACGGGCGTTAACCCTGCAAAAGACGCGCTCGGTGTGTACTCGGTGAGCGTCCGGCGTTCGACTGTGAACGCACTCCTGGAGGGCAAACATTAATATCGGTTTCCATTTGTCGAACCAGTGCAAAAAAAATGTATCCTTATCCTTACATGTTACATGCTTTTAGAAAAAGATGCGGATATACTCAGTGCGCACTGATTGACAAATTGAAATCGCCATTATTTTATAACCAAAAATGACATTATTTTGGCATTTTTCGTTATGTTTTTAACCTAGAAAGCTTCGAATGACATTATTTTGGCATTTTTGCATGACGTCATACTGAAATGGTCAACTGTGCCATAAGAGTTGCACATGCATGTTACAGTCAATTCTTACAGTGTTTTTGACTCCGGTTTTTGAACTAATTTCAAAAGTTTATTATTGGTAAGTATCTTAAAATAGTTTCTAAAAAGCTTTTCAATATTCGCCAACGTATGTATAGACTTTTTATTCGGGTGTTTCTTCACAATTGAAGAAACAACTTCTTAATAACGAAATGAAAAAATGGTCTTTTTTCATTATCGCAGATAAGGTGAGATAGAATAGTAGGAAATTATTAACCATAATAGTTTTTTTAATAGCTATATTGCCTTAAGCCCACTCTGTTCTTGATCTTCCTTGTATCACTGATTTAAGAACATTTTCAACCTTCCATTATCGCGCGTGTACCTGACAGTTACATGCTTATTATTTTTGCGAATAAATCAAAAAGGAAAAACCCTATAATATTATGGCTTGTAGTAGTCCTTAGGTACCTAATACTAATTACTTTCCCAAAAACCGAAATTCATCAGATATGGTTTAATTTTTTTATCAGTGATTTAGTATAAGTATCTCTGTGATACTCACGCGCCTAATGGAAGGTTAAGAACCATGAAGCTGAAGTTTTGGTTCCAATTTACACCCTGTAGCACATCTAACCCAGTTTCTTGTTTCAGCCTAGGAAATGTAGTTTCTCCAACAACAAATGGGTTTCCTGACAACAAACATAGTCGACAAACAACCAATCACCGAAATCACCGCGCATCAAAGGTCATAAACCGTCAAGGTTAACCTTAAACCCCATCGTCCCGCTCACAATGGGAAGCACATCATCGAAATTCAAAAAGAATCTTCAACAAGGAGACGAATATGCCGCCATGAAGATCTACCAAAATTCACCAGAACTGCGAAAGTATTTGGATCCTAATGTGAGCTACGGAGACAGTCATAATCATAATACTGCTTTACATTATGCTGCTAAACATGGTAAAAATTTTACTCTAGAATAATGAAAATTGTTAATAAAAAAAACTATTAGGTATGAAACATCTTCTGAGAGCATTTTTGAATGATCTGGGTGGAAATCCAAATAAGAAGAACGGTCTCAATGAATCTGTTTTGCATTCCACATGCCAAGTAATTCCTAACAGCAGCTATGGAGCTCTGGAAAGGAGAGCTGCTTGCGTACAATTACTTTTACATTGGAGAGGAGCGGTCTTGCATACAGGAGGCAGAGAAAAAGTTGATTTGGCTGCACAAGATAAGGTATAAGAAATTAATTAGTTAATAAAATACTAAATAATTTTATTAGGTCGGCAACACTGCCTTGCATTGTGCAGCACATTTTGGATTGAATCGCTGTGCAGAATTATTAGTTTATAATGGAGCTCCGTTGTTCTTGGAGAATAACGAGAAATTTACACCGTGCGATTTGGCAATGCGCGCTGGGCATGATGATATTGCTGGATTCCTTGAAAGCAGAATGGTTTTCGTAAGTACTTAACAAACTCAAATGTCTAATAAGTAACTTGAATCAATTTTATTCCATCCAGGCTGATAATCCAGACGTGGTAAATGTAGACGAGGATGTGATCAATGAGCAAGAAGAAGTTTATAGTGGATTGAGAAGTCAGGATTTGCAGGAAGCCAAAGATCAGCTTCTAGTTGACACATCTGATATGTTGAAGATTCCACTTTTCACGGCAGAAGCTTTGTTACGAGATAATGGTAAGCCATACTCACTTTTAGTTGATATGTATGACAAAAATTCAAGCACAATTCATAATAATTGGATTTGCAAAACTATTGTGGTAGCAAAGTTTACGGTAGATACTTGTTTAATAAATTTGATAAAGTAGAACGAATTAAAATTAGTTTAATTCGAGGCCATTTATTTTAGCTCGGGTAGAATTAATTAAACTTTTCTGGAAGAGTAGCATTAATTGAAACATTGTTATACAAGGATTTTGTTTGTTTGAAATTTCATTCCATGACCTATATTTCAGCACAATAATTTGAGAATAATTGTTCTAAATTTTGTATTATAGTATGTATTTCCATTTAGTTCTGGCTTGTTTCTATGTTATGCCTCTATTGGCTCTATATTACTTTGTTTTGGGCGAAATGAATAACTCGGCCCAAGTTTTTCCATTTCCTTTGACTGCAGAAATACCTTAGTAGGCGCAGAAGTGCCCTCTGGACGACCCTGTTAACGTGATCTTCCCGGGTCGCGATTTTACTAAATACAAACTATTACAGCAGAAGACACGCCCCCAACTTTGTCATTGCAAAATATAATCGGCCTCGGCACGATTTTACCAAATATAAACTATTAGAGCACAAGAGACGCTAAGATTGCAAAATATAATCGCGCCCAGCACAATCCTGCAAAATCTAATCGTTGACAGCACAACGTGTGGCTGATTCATATAAATAAATCAATTGAAAAAGAATACAGTTATCGAATTTTAAAAATTTACAAGGTGCTGCAATTTGGAGTGTTTTAACCAGGAAAAACATACTTCTAGACCAGATAGAAGAAAATTAACCTGTCATGGGATCGATTTTCGAGAAACGTCGGTTGTCAAAAACCGTATCACGATATCTTCAATGGTACCATTGATACAGGGCGATTTTCGATTTTCTCCTATTATGACAAATAGCTATAAGTTTTTTGTTTATCAGTTTTTTTTATTTCTGTAAAAACATTTTGGAGATACTTTTTTGAGCACAATCCAGTGGCAGACTCAGTTTTTTTCGCTCCGATTTCGAGATATCGATCAAAGTCCAATATTTTTTAATAAAACACCCTATATATTAATACCTCATTGGATAGCTCTGTTTTTGCTGATTTCAATGATATAAAGTTTGATAGTTTTTTTTATCTGCCGATACTTTATTAAAGCTGTTGTGATGGCACACGTACTGTTTACGAAACCATAATCTGCAGTTTTAGCAAAGTTCTTTCACTATCCATTGTGTCTTTGTTATTATTGACAATTCATTCACCCACTCATTGCAACGTAAGTTAAAGTCGTCGGAATTGCACCCTTCGTCAGATTTCCCTTTTAAGCGAAGTACTGCTATGTAATTGTTTTGATTTTCATACTCGATTATATTAACATTTCCATTGTTACACAATGGATTAATAAATTGAATTAAATTATCCATAATGAAAACACACAATACTAACAATAATAATTAACTTCTAAAGAGTGAGCCCTGCTTCTAACAGCAAGTAAAATTTGAGGCTTGATCCGCCACGTAGTTTTACAAACGATAAGATTTTGCAGGGATGTGCTGAGCGCGATTATATTTGGCAATGACGTTAAGGGCTAGCATCTCTTGTGCTCTAATAGTTTATATTTAGTAAAATCGCGCTGAGGTCGATTATATTTTGCAATGACGAAGTTGGGGGCGTGTCTTGTGCTGTAATAGTTTATATTTAGTAAAATCGCTCACAGGTCAGCTTATAGTCAATGATGACTTTTAGATATTTGACCGAACCAGATGGAGCAAGTTTCGATCCAAAGAGCGTGAGCCCTTCTAGATCCACGTTTCTTTGCTTCATAAATAATACTACTCCGATGTTGTCCGGATTCACAGAGAACCCGTGATTATTACACCATCTTTCGACCATGTTGAAAGCTCTTTGCATGATCCCTTTAATGGTGCTGGGTACCACATAGTATTGAGTGTACATACCTTCCTCGTTCAGAGTGCGGAGCAGCCCATCCAGCACTAGGAACCACAGCAAAGGCGATAGTACACTCCCCTGCCGGCAGCCTCTGGCTACAATTGAACTGATCTCCGAAATTCCAATCGAGTTTGTACCTAATGATTCTGCCTTCCAGCATGACACAGATCCATTTGACAATGGTGTTATCTGTGCGAAAACTTCCTGCAGAATTTTCAAGCGAGTCGAAGGAGGTGTTATTGAATGCCCCTATGTCTAAAAATACCAATAGAAATACCCTTGCCACAAGGCTGTGAAGAGCCGTCTCAATTGATACATAGCATAGCAGTCCTGTAGGCATGTTGATTAGGGTGCATGGGCATTGTCTTCAACGTCCCTTCCCTAAGGAATGTGTCTACCAGTTTCTCCAGCATTTTTAGAAGACTGAAGAAACGAGGATAGACCTAAGTGTGACTTATGTGTGTGTGGCTTCGTAACTATAACGTCCTGGCTTGGTGCTGAATACCACTTGGACTTTACGCCAGGAATGTGGTATTTGACCATATGCGAGGCAGGCCTTGAAGAGGCGTATTAGGTGCGGAGTTAGTTGCTCCAGCCTCTTTTGTAAAAGAGCCAGATAAATGCCATCTGGTCTCGCACTCTTTAAAGCTTCAAATGAGTGGATGGCCCATCTCATAGAGTTTTCTGACACTGACATCACCCTCGCAGTAATCTTCCAATCGGCTGGTCTTGCGCCAGCTTGTAAAGTGGTGGTTTACCAGTTTGCAGAATATCAGAGTCCGGAAAGTGTGTTTCCAGGAGCCAACCAAGTGCCTCCTCCGCGGTAGAGCTGTAACTGCCGATGAGACGCCATAGTGGCCCCAGCTCTTGTCCTGGATCTTTGGAGAGAATATTTTGAAGCTTGGCGGCTGGGAAGCTCGTCTACATTTCTGCAGAGCGTCCTTTATATCTGCGCTGAGACTGCTTGTCCCAGTCAGCTACTCATTTAGACCGCATAGCCCTGTTAAAGAACCTGCGGATTTCTTTACGAGCCGTGTCTAGGTCGGAGTTCCACCAAGGGGTTTTCCTCTTTCTTCCATAGGCCGAAGCTGGCAGCTTCATTCGTTAGCATTGATGATTGCTTTGCGTATAAATTCGTGTAAGGGTATTTCCTGTTTGAGCCAATAAAACAATACCCTGATGGAAGCAGTTTTTTTGCAGAAGCTGCTGCTGTGACGTACTCGGCTTCTGCTGTGGATTGGGCCACGCAAGTCTGCTTTTTAGAAAACCTGCTAATTGTATTATCAGCATAGAGAACAGCGGAACCACTTGTGCTCTTCCTGTCAACTTTATCACCAGCCCAGTCAGCATCCGAATATGCCACTAAGGCCGGCTCATTTTTGCTATATATCAGTCCCGTTCCTGTTTCTGAGATAGCGTAACACTCGTTTTCCAGCTGTCCATAAAGCTTGATTCGAGCTGTCCATATATCTGCTAAGATACGAATCCGTATACATAATATCTTGTCTTGAAGTGCATGCCAGGTAACGAACACTTAAAATCTCATCAGATTTTTCCACTTGAAATCCAGGGACCATTGGCGTTGTAACACCTTTACAAAGTTAAATTCTTTGAGAATCTTCTGTGTGTAGCTTTTCTGTGTTATCGTCACTTTTTGGGATGTTCCATTTATTTCCATCCCTATGAACTTTTTAACTTCACCCATAAATTTAGCACTTAGTTTTTCCTTCAGGATACTAATAATACTTTGTACCTTGTCCTTTTTTCCAGTTACAATCAAGTCATTCACGAACACTAAGAGCCAAGCATCTGCTTTTGAATACAAACAAAAATCATATTTAGATCTTCTAAAATCTAAATCTGTCATGATTTGATTGAATTTGTTGTTCCAACATCTCGGGCTCTCCTTAAAACCGTACAGTGTTCTGTTTAATTTTAACACTTTGGATCTGTCAACATTTAGCCCCTCAGGTACTTTGATATAAACATCAGACTCGACATAGCCAGTTAGGAAAGCTGTTGGAATGTCTAGCTGACATATATTCCAACCCTGTATTAGTCCATTTCCAAGAAACGCTCTAATGGTCGACAACTTTGCAAATGGAGCATACATAGTGCCAAAAGGATTCTCCTCCTTATCTGGAATCCCTTAGCTACTAGCCGTGCCTTCTTTGGACCATCTTCTTTGGTTCTAAATACCCATCTGGTATCAATGGTCCTCTTGCTCTCTGAAAGCTCACATACAGTCCAAGTTTGGAGATTTTTATAGGACTCTAATTCATTAGCTATTGCATTCAACAGATTCTTGAGCGTCAGTAAAAGTTCGAGGAGAGTCTTGAGATTCAATGTTATCGTAAATCGCATATATCTCGTAATCTTCCAGGTGTTGTGGTTTACTCACCTGTCTTCCAGCTCTTGTAGTTGTTGGTTCTTGGAAATCTTGTATCTCTTCATCATGTAAATCCTCAGAACTGTCTTCACTCTCCGAGTTATTTTCATGAAAACCTTCTCGATTCACTTCTTCATCTTGTATTGGCCATATTACTACACCATCATCTTGTTCTGCAGGTTTTGTTTTGGGTTTTGTTTCCCTGATTATTGCCTCATTTTTATTATTGTTCTTAAAAAAAACCACATCTCTGCTGTGTGTTATTTTCTTTGTTCTTGGGTCAATCAGCCTAAAACCTTTCTTATTTTCGCCGTAGCCCATAAAAAATAATTTTTCAGATTTCGGGTCCCACTTCTTCTTTAACGTATCTGGTATATGAGCCATCAAATCACAACCAAATATTCTTGAATGTGATAAGTCTGGCTTTTTCTTACTAAAACGCTTTTTCTTACCAAAACGATAAAATTCCAAAAATTTTTTTTTTCAGATTTTGTGTCCTAATGGTCATTTGGGATCCCCCAAACTCCATACACTAAATTATTCTCAAATTTGAAACCGAAATCTATGAAAAAAGGCAGCAAAAATTGAAAAATTGATAAATCACCCCAAATTGCTTAACACAATTTTATCTCAGGAACTATACGGCCAAATGAGTTGAAATTTTCAGGGATTGTAGTTCTCTACCGGAATAAGAATCGCTGGAATTTTCAGCTTTCTATCTATTATAGAAAAAAAGTTATGACTTTTCAAAGTTTTCCAAAATCTAAATCATAAGGTAGCTAAAGTTTGTTTCACCAGGGTTTGTACTTGCCACCAGCATTTGCCTTCCTTGTTTAACAAATAAAAATTGACTGAAACAAATCAATGACGTCAAAAACGTTCGTCGGTTCGTAAACCAGAAGTCATTAATTTAATTTGTCAAAAAAATTGAATGTGTCATATGAATTAATCTACGACAACCCTTTTTTCTCAAGTTTCAAGGTCAAGTATGAACCGTGGTGAAACGGACTTTACCTTCTTACTAAAATGATGAAATTTCAATTTTTTTTTTGTTGAGATTTTGTGTCCTAATGGTCATTTGGGATCCCCCATATACTAAATTATTCTCGAATTTGAAGCCGAAATCTATGAAAAAAGGCTAAAATTGAAAAACTGATAAATCACCCCAAATTGCTTAACACAATTTTATCTCATCAGGAACTATAAGTCCAAATGAGTTGAAATTTTCAGGGATTGAAGTCCTCTACTGGGAATCGCTAAAAAAAAAGTCTGACAGAAACTAGTAGTTTTTTTGTGTTTTTTGACCCATGTGTGGCTGCCACGCTATCTTGAATGCAGGGGCGTCGCGTCGGGAGGGGTAATGAGGGTAATTACCTCTCCCCAGGATTGAATTATCAATAGTAATATAACTAGTGCAATGGAAATTATTGACAATTTTTGGGAAATTTCCCCGAATGCATTTTTAGTTGAAAAAGAGTGCACGTAGTGCACGAGTGCCTTTTTCAGTTAAAAACGCATGAGTGCAAATTTGTCGAAAATTATAAATATATTTTCATTGCACGAGTTGTATTTAATGAGAGAATTTCATAAATCAAAAATTTTAATTTTTTGTCAAAAAATGTCAAAACACCAGTTTTGCGACCAGTTGCTATGCAATTATCTGATAATTTGCACTAGTGCAAATTATCGCGTAATTCCAATCTGATTGGTTCAAATCAACAATCAAAACATGTCAGTTTATTGTTGGAATACCAGTTTTGACAGATGTAGGAAATTCTCAAGAGAAAAAAGTCAGGATGCCCAAAAGAAAATACAAAATATATTGAAGAAAATAAATTTTTGTTTTGTTTTATTCTTCTCACAAAGGAAATAATTGTTCTGGAAAAGTGAATGACCTTGAAATTTGCAAAAAATTTCGCCTGCAGCGCATTTTCGGAGGGCGCCACGTCAACCCCCTCTACCATTTACCCCTCCCCTCAGACTAATGGTCACGCGTCACCACTGCTTGAATGTCACGTGATTTGGATTGCCTAATAAACAATACAGCTTGACAGTTCTCCGACAAGGGCAGCTGCCTGTCAAATTGTCACTTGTGGCTGAGGCCCTGACTACAATACTTTAACCATTCGGCTGTTTCCTTCACTTGCCTACGCTGGCGGCATGGCGTGGGAAACTTTACTAGCTTAGCCCTTCGAATCTCAACAAATTGGGCCTCAGTTTGTGTTCCGGAGTTTCCTGAACGTACTGAGCCCAACCTTGTGATCAAGGTCCAAGCTGAAGAGGATGCGTCCGTGATCCGATAGGGACTATTCGTCAGACACTGTCCATTTGCTTATCAACGGAGCCATAGAAAGTGAGCCCAATATCAAGTCTATCACCTCTTGTCTACCCGAAGTGATGATCATCTGTCGAGTCATAGTGCAGATGGGCCGAGCAACCACCACTGATTTGTCTTGCCTTAGTCCGTCCTCGAGGCATAGATTTATCACCACCATCAGGCTTCTAGAGCAGAAATTGGCTATTAGATGGATCTTGATTCGTCTCTCGACATAGATGCATGTTCTTGGGTTTAGTTGGTCGTCCCCGAGGGGGATTTCAGTAGTGGAACTGTGTAAACTAAATTACCACTTCTGACAGAAATTACCACAAATTACCAGTAATTACCTCTAAATTACCACTTTCTTCCTCTATTACCTTTCATTGCCTCAGGAATTACCATTCAATGCCACTCAAATTACCACTTATTACCACTTATTTCCGCTCAATACCACTAATTACCACTGTCAATACCACTAATTACCACTGTCATTACTATTAATTGCCACTGAAATTGCCACTAAATACCAGGAATTTATTTCAATTTTCAAGTATTCCCGAGACTAGAACTCAATAACAAATCGAAATGTTAAAAGAAGAGCAAATCAAGATGTTGAAAGTTGAAAAAACGAGATACTCAAGAAGGCATTGTAACATGTCTCGAAGAAAAAAGGATTTCAAAATCCTGCAAAAACTCAAGTTTCATCTTCTAGAAACTAGATAAAATATATTTGATTGATGATGAACGAACAAATGATGTTAAAAGAAGAGCAAATCAAGATGTTGAAAGTTGAGAAAGAGAAACACTCATGGAAGCAGTTCAACATGCCTCGAAGAAAAAAGGATTCCAAAATCCTGCAAAACCTAAGTTCCATCTTCTAGGATCTGGATAAAAATCATTTGATTGATGTTGAAGGAACAAATCGAGATGCTAAAAGAAAAGCAAGTTAAGATGTTGAAAGGTAAAATAGACAGACACGCAAGGATGCATTCCAACATGTCTCGAAGAAAAAAGGATTCCAAAATCCTGCAAAATCTCAAGTTCCATCTTCAAGAAACCGGATAAAAATCATTTGATTTATGTTGAAAAAGCAAATCGAGATGTTTAAAGAAGAGCAAATCAAGATGTTGAAAGTTGAAAAAGAGAGACACTCAAGGAGGCATTCCATCATGTCTCGAAGAAAAAAGGATTCCAAAATCCTGCAAAGCAAAAACTAAAGTTCTAGCTTCTAGAAACTGGATAAAAATCTTTTGATTAATGTTGAAGGAACAAATCGCGATGTTAGGAGAAGAGCAAATCAAAATGTTCAAAGTTGAAAAAGAGAAACACTCGAGGAGGCATTTGAACATGTCTCGAAGAAAAAAGGATTCCAAAATCCTAGGAAACTTAAGTTCAATCTTCTAGAAACTGGATAAAAATCATTTGATTGATGTTGAAGGAACAAATCGAAATGTTAAAAAAAGAGCAAATCAATATGTTGAAAGTTGAAAAAGGCAGACACTCAGGGAGGCATTCCAACATGTCTCGAAGAAAAAAGGATTCCAAAATCCTGCAAAAACTCAAGTTCCATCTCCAAGAAACCGGATAAAAATCATTTGATTGATGTTGAAAAAGCAAATCGAGATGTTTAAAGAAGAGCAAATCAAGATGTTGAAAGTTGAAAAAGAGAGACATTCAAGGAGGCATTCCATCATGTCTCGAAGAAAAATGGATTCCAAAATCCTGCAAAGCAAAAACTAAAGTTCTAGCTTCTAGAAACTGGATAAAAATCATTTGATTTATGTTGAAGGAACAAATCGCGATGTTAAGAGAAGAGCAAATCAAAATGTTCAAAGTTGAAAAAAAGAAACACTCAAGGAGGCACTTCAACATCCAAAATCCTGCAAAACTTAGGTTCCATCTTCTAGAAACTGGATAAAAATCATTTGATTTATGTTAGTGGAACAAACCGAGTTCACCATCAGCAACTTTAGAACATTCCGACACTATTTCGGATTCCATCTAGAATACGAAAATATGAAAAAAATACAAAATTTCACACGTCTTTGCAGTTCCTCACACATATTTGCGTATTTGGCGCTCGGTATTTGGCATCCATCTAGGATAGGTGAAAATCTTGAAAATTGAAACTAGAAAAACATTGTGACGGAAACACATAAACACCTAATATTTGTAGCTATTTGCCGAATGTGTGATAGAGGTTTAAGGTATTATAATAATATAACAAGAATGTACTCTATCACATTTACCTTTTCTTTTAGATTTAGAAACACTAAAACACAAAACTGGGCCTTAAATGAGACGAGGAGTTGAAAGTTTTAAAATGAGCAGTAAAAACGACGTTCATAGATGATGTCAAACCAAGTGTTGAACAATTGCAAAGTTGCCACTTTTAATGTAATGAAACCTCAAATGGAACATTCCTTAGAAAATGAAAGTTGATATTTCTAACTGACTAATAGGGACTCATGGCGGTTTGCACCGACCATTTTAAGGAAGCCTTGGCGATAAGTATTCCTTAAAGTGACATTTCTCCATGTAAAAATGTCAGTTTAAGGAATACTTATCGTAAAGGCTTTCTTAAAATGGTCGGTGCAAACGGCCATCAGAAGAATATTTTACTTAAATCTTAGTTGAATAGTTTACAGTTAAAGGCAAAGCTCTGTTACTTCTAAATTAAAGCAAATTCGAGGGCATATCATAATTTTATCAGTACAGAACTTTGAGGTATTACCACAAAATTTCCTTTAATTACCCCCAAAATTGCCTTAAATTACCAAAAATTACCCCGAATTACCACTATATTTCCACTAAATACCACTGTATTTCCCCTAATTTCCAGTCATTACCACTCATTTCCCGTGAAATTTCCACTAATTACCACGATTGTGTACACTAAATTACCACAATGAAATCCCCCTCGGTCGTTCCACTTATAGGAGAGATTTTTCAACTCTACTTAAACCTCTTACGCGACCCAAGGTTCTTGCAGGAGGTATAAACTTGAAAAATGATAAAAAAAATCATTGTTTGTAATCCACTACATAGAATTAGATTCCCTGAAAATTTCAGGTCATAGAGGTCCAATAAAGACCTTTCCCGTTGGTGTAAGATTTCTTAGAATTTCACAGCCATCGTCTTAACTCAAATTTCAATCTTTTTTTTTTAGAATGGTCAAGGGAACTGTTGCTAGAAAAATGGATGAGAAATCCAACAGAATGTTGTGAATCAGCTGGAGTTCAGGCACCCATTTCTCTATTAACCCATGCAGGTTCAGTCGATTCCAGTATATCTACTGATACTGGATCTGATAGGCAAGAAACTATGGTAAGACTAAAAGTAATTGAATCAAAAATGTTCATCTAGTTATTTGTTTCAGTGTGAAATATGTTTAAACATTATACCAGCAGAATGGGATCAACCCCTTAAAATGTCGTGTAAACATATCTTTTGCAAAGGATGTTGGCAAAGTTATTTAACGACCAAAATTCAGGACGGAGATGCCCATCACATTTTATGTCCCGCTTACCAATGCCACATTTTGGTACCTGTGGAATTTATTGAGAAACTTGTTAGTCCGGAAATGGCAAGGAGATATTTACAGTTTGACATAAAGGCAAGAATTATTATTAGTTGTAGTATATTTTTTTTTATTCATAAATATTTTCTAGGCTTTCGTAGAAAGCAACAAAACCATCAAATGGTGTCCAATTCCTGGATGCGGTCGTGCAGTAAGATTGCCAGAAGCTGAACAAACTCCTGGAAAAACATATCCGAACAGAAAGCCAATTCCTTTAACTTCTCACGCGGTTGATTGTGGTAATGCGCATTTTTTTTGCTGGGAATGTTTAGGTAAATATTCGTTTATTTTGTTTCAAAATTCATCAGTTGTCTATTTTAGGTGAGGCTCATGCTCCATGCGGTTGTGACCAATGGCAGCAATGGCATCGAAAAATAACAGAAATAAAACCTGAAGAGTTAAGCACTGCTTGCATAGGATCTGAAGAAGCTGCTAATTGTTTGTGGTTGGTTACCAACTCTAAGCCTTGTCCGAATTGTAAAAGTCCTATACAGAAGAATGAGGGTTGTAATCACATGAAATGCTCAAAGGTAAAAAAAATTAGGTTGGATGAGGCCTGTTATTTATATTGGTTGGTTTTAGTGCAAATTTGATTTTTGTTGGGTTTGCCAAGAATCTTGGAAGAAGCACAGTTCTGCTACAGGGGGCTATTTTAGATGTAATAGATTTGAAGCTGTACGAAAGGCTGATGAAAAACAGGTGGGGCATTAGTAAATATGTTGAAATCAAGTTGAAGTTCTAAGCGTTTTAGGGTAATATGGTTAACGAAGCAATAGAAAAAAACACAGAATTACAAGAAATCACCAGATTTTTGCATTACTATACAAGATTTCGGAACCATGAAAATAGTCAGAAGATGGAAGAACCTTTGATGACTAGTGTTAAAAAGAAAATGGAAGTACTTGCTAGTAGTCTCGGAATAAGACGAGAAGGTGAATACTAACCAAATAAAAATGTAAACAAAAATAACTTAATTATGTTTTAGAAGCCATAGAGAGTAGCACAAGATTCATAGAAGATGGTGTCAGAGAACTATTGAAAGCAAGAAGGGTATTATGTGGCTCATATGCCTATGGTTATTACCTAGAAGATGATGGTTACAACAAGCATATTTTCGAATTTATGCAGGTACCTACTTAAAAATGTCTTTTTCAACTTTTAAAAAAATGCTAATTTTAGAACGAATTAGAAGAAATTACTGAAAAATTGAGTGAAATGATAGCAAGACCATATTTGCGAACACCCAAAGCAGTAATTATTCAAACATCAACACTAACAAGAAGAAAAAGGCACGAGTTCGTTAGGGCAGTGGCCCAAGGTTTGATACCTCCTGAAACACCACCAACTCTGAGGAAGAGAAAGAGGAAATTAGTATGCATAAAAAAATATTTCCTCTATTTTACCTAATTAGAATTATTCTAGAATGAACTAGCAGACACTTCAACTTGGTTAAAAGACTGTGAATGGCCAAATGGAGACTATGACACCGACGAAGAAACCGATTTGAGTGTAACGTTAAAAAAAATTATTCGGAAACCTGTGGATGAACATGAGTGTGGGCTATTGTGTAGTAGTCAAGGATGTGGCACAAGTAAGTCAGAAATATTATCCTCAATTTTTCTTAATTTTTTCCGTGTTTTATTAGGACCTGACTACAATGTTGAAATGATAATAGCCTTAGAAATGTCCAGACTACAAATGATAGAAGACCAAGTGAAACAGTCCGAGCACACACCTATAACGCCAGATCCTGGTTCCAGTATATCTACAAATAGTAACGAAAGTACAGATGATCAGCTAAAATTAGCCATACATTTATCTTTGCAAGAATCCACTGCCAAAATTAAAAGAGAAATGGAGCAGAGAGAGAATAACGAAAGAACAAATGGTCTGGGAAATAGTTTTTTTTTGGTTCAAATCGTTAATTTGCAGCTATTTTTAGGTTACCAGAAAACCAGTGCTGATCTGACTGTGGACTACTTCCTGAAATCGCTAGCCAATCATAAAATAGATCTGAAATCTCTAGACCGACTAGAACCAGATAAAGATATTGTGTTCAGATCTTGCAAAGGGAACGAGGATGGTAGATTTAAAATTTCAGATATCCACGATAATGGTCAGTAATAAGTCATTTGCACAATGGAGTCTTAAATTCAAAGTGATTTTATAGGATATATTTTTGGTAACGACGACTATGACGATCTCACAAGTCTGAAACGTTGCCATTCCACAGGAGATCTTTGCTCACGCAGAACTAGAAAAGGGCTATTGACAAGGATGAACGGTACTGATGAACCAAGGTACCATTTGGATTCTGATCATAGTAGTCATGATGAAAAACCTGAAGATATGGTTAGAAGGTAAGAACAATTTCACCTATTGCAACAATGCATTGTTGTTCAAATCTCAAAGTTTGGGTTAGTTCAAGCCGACTGGGTCATTGTTGTGAAACCCTTTAAATTTTTCTAGCAAACTTTAACCCCCTAGAACCCTTCCCCTACCGTTGGCAACTGCATCCGATTGGAACCGCTTACACATTACTTCAATCGGGGCAGTGTGTCCGATTGTACGTCCATTATTCATATTCTGGATTTGCTTCCTTTGATCTTTCGTCTGCCATCTTGGTCTTCAGGATTGTATGAATCATCGTCTTCACTTGTGCTCCAGTTGTGTTGGTTCTCTGTCACTACTGCCAAAAAATTGTCTGGAATGATCCTTTTCCCTCTGTTATTGGAGCAGGCTTCCCTTTCCTTATTCCATTGTTTACAATGCAAAATGGTGTGCTCGGCGGTATCACACTCACCGCAATAGAAGCACTCGCTGTCGGCTGTTTTGCCTAAGCCGTGAGTGTAAGCCCTAAAGCATCCGTGTCCTGTCAGCATTTACGTCATGCAGTGATGTTATCTCAAAAACTCTGGAAATCACTTTTTAAAACAAGAATAATTTATTTTTCGTGATACTTTACTGTTATCTTAATATAACATGAGCAAAATTGAAATCGAAAAGGTACATTTAACAGGCCGCCGGCTTAACTGCAAATAACAGCCTTGGCTGATTATGATCCTCGGCAATCCCTTGGCTGATTATGATCCTCGGCAATCGTCTCGGATCACAAACTTCAGCCCGGCCGTTATTTGCTACTTATCGGCCTTATAACGTTAAATAACTATCAAAATACAGGTTACAAATATATTGGACATTAACGTATTGTCTGGCTAGCGAAACGGCGAACTGCAAAAGAATTCGCTGCTTTGCCAAACTTGACGGAAATTAGAAACAAAATAATAAACAAGTTGGTGACATATTTTTTTTTTTGCTATATGGGCATGTGTAATATTTTAAAATAGGAAAAAATCAGGCAACATTGCGAAATGATGGAAGTGGAGAGGCGTGATTATTCAGAAACAAGATTCTATTGGTTAGATCCTAAACGACAGCACGCAGTGGCGTGGTTATTGGCGAAACTAGAGAATCTTTTTTCTAATAATTTTATTGGTTTATTTCCTTGGTGTTTTCGGTGCCACTGAACTCAAAGACATGGCTGTCATCAGACGGTGTCAGTTGAGGTCACAGAACATATCACCTATACTCGATTAGTTGGGTTTTCAGTCAACGAGGGCGCCGTAATTCATAACCGGTACATACCAATGCAGATACTTTTCTAGAGGTGATATGTTCTGTGGTTGAGGTGTCAGTGAATATTTTTAGGTAACGCCCCAGTTTTCTTCCCCCTTTCGTCTCGACCAAGTTACCACTTGCCAGACTATAACTAACTAAACAGACAGGGTCTTTTATATTTTAAAACATGTTGATTTTGCTGTTTCTATGGGAGCGTTGCGACGATGATAGAACAGTTCTTGGCGTGACATGTTCAGACAGGATAACTTGCTGAAGTAGCGTCTAGACTTTGCGATACTTTGTATGACCGTGGTATTGAGACGCGTCTGGAGGTCATTGTAGTCGTGAAATCCATATAACAGCTCCCCCATTAAGTAAAAAGTTAGTGCTTGGCAGCAATTTTTTAAAAACCAACTGGGTTGTTGTGATCGGAAATTTGGTTTAGTCTATGCTGTGTCACGTTTAGATCATTGATGTTGATTTTAGACAGTTTAAGAGGTTTCAACTCTGGCACATGACGATTCACCGACAGGTGTTTGCAGCAGTCATAGGGAATTTCCACTGGATGGCTTTTATAGGTCACGTTTCTGTATTTCTCCGCTAGATGTGTAGTATGAATTCTCGAGTTTCCTACAAAGGCATTGCAGGTTGGTTGGAGCTCGAGCACTGTGTTGGTGTCGATTGTTTCTGTCACACTGTTTTTGCCATCACATCTGATAGTGATTGGGACGAGGATAATGTTATGAGCCAGCAGTTTGTGTCTAGTTCTTGCACATTGTAGTCACTACTGTCACTAGCGAGTAAGATTGAGGTTTGGCAAGTCTTGGGAAGTGTCCCTGTTGACTTCAGGAGTTGGGCTTCGCAAATGGCATCGCTGTCTATAGGGTATTGTAGAAGGTCAGAACATATCCTTGTGTTATTATCAAGAGGTTTGTAGTGATCCGGGCTTGGAAGTAATATGTACAAAAAAGATTCGTCATCTGTCGCGATATATTTTTGAGTTATTGGTAAAAAAATTTCGATTATCCAAAATCGGGATAGGGTAGATGTTATAAAGAGTGTATATCTCAGGTTCGATCAGCGGTATTCTAAGAATAAAGACAACTTCACCTTCTGATTGATAAGCTTCCAAATCAATTATATCCAGGTATCCTGGTACATATGGAAGATATATAGGTAAAGGAAGGTTATTTTTGGATAAAGAGTGCGATATTTCCTGTAAGGAGGCGACCAAGTCTCTAGGAGTTATAATTGAGGTATGTAATATCTTTAAACGTGCAAACGTTTTTGCTTCTAGAATGTCATTAAGGGAATTTTCCAGAAAGACGTAGCTTTCCATTAATGATACAGAGGTTTAGAGTTCTGGTTTGCGCTTCGTTAAACTTTAAATCGTTCGAAATGTCAGATATGAATTCTTGCTATATTGATGTTGAATGTGTCTTCATCGATTTGGAGTTCCTGAATAGTAGAATTATGTTTTTGTATTACTGAGATGGTTACAGAAATTTGGTTTTTAAGTAAAATTTCAAGTTCTCGTTCATCTGTATTGATTTTGTCAACACATTTGTTGAAGTATTCACCATCGGTAGAGTCTAAGTTTCCGGTGATTGATTTGAAGATACTTCCTATTCCGATAATTAGTCCACGTTTGTTTCTATAGTTTGTGTCGCCAGTGATTTCGTTAAGTTTCTGGTCGACTGAATCAGCAACTTGAGTAAAAAGGCTGAAATTAGTTTGAACTTCAAGATACTGTGCACAGAACACATATTCTTTGTGAGGATATGTAATCTGTGATGCTGTGCTTCAACTTTGAAGGCTGTCATAAGGGTCATTTATTTTGGTCAGGTTAGTGACAATCTTTTTATTGTTCTGGATAGTTTCTCTGAATGATTCTATTTCTTTGTAAACTCAAAGTGTCCATTTCTCATTTGAGACACTAGACTACCTTCTTCGTGATAGAATATCCCAACTGTGTTGTTAATTGGAGTTAGAAGAAATTGAGGGGTGACGACTGGAATCAGCCCGACGAGTCTGGAAAAGAAAAGACTAGTCATAGAACGGCTTTAGTCTATCAAAGTTAAATTTGGAAAATTGAAACGTTTTGAGGTTTTTCACTTTCGCTGAGTTTCTATAAACTTCAATTATTTCGAAAGGTCCGTTAAAAAGATTTTGAGCTTTGTCTTTTATTTGAGTTTCTTTGATATACACCTTGTGACTTGCTTCATATTCTGAAAGATTTGTGAGACCGTCTTGTCGAACCTTAGTTTCGACTTTTCTTTTTGGATATCGGTTCTAGCTCGAGCCACTCAATAATAAATAATATTCAATTCTGTTGTTGAGGTCTTATATGTATTTGAAGATTAGCTGTTTTTGATTAGAAAGAGTCTCAGGGGGTCTGTTCGACCTATGGCTAAAGATTAATTCGAAAGGTGTGAATCCGTGTCTTATTTTTGGTATTATTATAACAGATAACTGCGTACGGGAGAATGTTTAATGAGTGTTCATCTGGATGTTCCGCTTTATGAATGCGGATCATTTCCATCAAAGTTGCATGGAATCTTTCCAGCGATCCGTTGGATTGTGGGTGGTTTACACTTGAAAATGTCAATTTTATGTCATAAAGTTGACAGAGGTCTTTGAGTAAGGCGTTGTTGAATTCACCTCCACAATTACAGCGAATTCCTAAAGGTGTTCCGTAGTGTTGGAAGAATACTAGTAGGGTGTTAAAAATTGTGGACGCCTGAGATTGGGTAAGCTTGAGTGAATTTGGTAAGTTCATCCCTAACTGTTAGGGCGTAGTTACGAACTGGGAATTCAAAAAGGTCAATGTTTATCCTTTCAAATGAAGTTTTGGGAATTTCAGTGACAACGAGAGGAGTACTAAGATTTTTCCTACAGATTTTGACTTTTTGGCAGATTTCACAGGCTCTGATGAATTTCTCAACATCTTTGGTTAAGCCTTGCCAGGAGTATTTGTCTTTAATCCTTCTAACGATTTCATTGATTCCACGATGTGAATTTGTTTTTCCAGTATGATATTGGTCCAGGATAATTGGGATTTGGTCTTGATCTTTGACGATATTTTGGCATATCTTAAGCTTAATGTCTTTTTCGACAAATATAAAAGAAAATATTTCAAGAATAGGTCATTCTAGATTGTTTTCTATGCAAAAGGTTTTTTCAGGGTCAAATTCGTTTTGACACTTGAAAAGCGAGTAAAAGAGGGTGGGGACTTTTTTCTCATTTTTGCAAGGAATAGGAATTATGAAGTATTTGCGTGCCTTCACAGATTTGCCAGATAAAATGTTAACCTGATTAGGTTGAAAATCGACATTTTCCTCGAATAGATCATCTTTAATTTCGTAATGTAAGTCTGTTAGTTTGGTTTGCCAAAATAATGTTACAATATTTTTGTAAGACTTGTCCAGAAGTTTTAGGTTGGAAATCTCTATCTTTGAGTAGTCAATAATTGATCTGGTTTTGTAGAGATTTACGAAGGAGTTGTATTTTTCCTCAATTAGGGTTGTTTCATCATTGTTTTCAATTTCGGCGATTGGAATTTCTTGTTGTTGTTGACTTGTAGATGGGCGGTTTCTTATATCGTCAATATCAGGTTCTTCTTTGTTAGAAGCGAGTATGTGAATTTTGGAGCTTAAATTTGAACAATCTTTGAACTGGTTTACTTTTATTCAAGATAGGGCATCAGCGTTCCTATTGATTTTCCCAGGTTTATACTCGATTCGATAGTCGTATTTTTCGAGTTTCAAGCGCCAGCGAGCTAAACGACTTCCAGGGTCTTTAATTAAGAAAAGCCAAGTTAAAGGGCGATGGTCTGTGATAAGGACAAACTTTCGACCAAAGAGATAAGGTCTAAAATGTTAATCTGCCCATACAATGGCCAGTAATTCTCTCTCTATGGTAGAGTATTTAGTTCTTAGATCTTTTCCTATAGGGCCTTGTGACAAAACTGTACCGATGGCAAAAGCGCTTGCGTAGGTGGTTAATAGAAATGTCTCTTTGAAATTGAGATCGATCAGAATCGGGTCAGGAACTAGTGCGTTTTTCAATTCGCTGAATGCGGATATGCATTCTGGGTTAAAGTGAAATGGAACATCTTTCTGGAGGAGTTTTGTCAAGGGCTTTGATGATTTAGCAAAATTGGGGATAAATCGACGATAATATCCTGCTAATTCTAGAAAGGATCTAATGTCTCCGGATTTTTGGGTGTAGGGAAGTTCTGAATACAACTGATTTTTACAGGTTTCGGTTTCACACCGTCTTGAGTGATAAGGTGTCCCAGGTAAGCTACTTCTTTTCGAAGAAACTCACATTTTTCCGGCTGGATTTTTAAGTTAGCTTTACGGAGGTTTTTAAAAAGGAGAGTAAACGATAATATCGTTCATGTAAACTAAGCATCTTTCGTTTTGAATGCCGAGGAGAATATTGTCCATGATTTTTTGCTTTTTGGAAGGTGGACGGGGCATTTTTCAATTCAAAGGGCATACGTACGAATTCGTAGTGGCTATTTTCTACGGAAAAAGCAGTTTTCGAAACATCCTTGGGGTCTACTTCTATTTGGTGAAAACCTGTGGTTAGGTCAAGGGTGGTAAAATATTGTCATTTTCCCATAATTCATCCAGAAGATCGGAAATATTAGGCAGCGGGTATTTGTCGTCTACAGTAAGTTCGTTGACTTAACGATAGTCGATTACGACGCGCCATTTGGGTTTGCCAGGAGCATCAAGTTTCTTAGGAACGACCCAGACGGGAGAAGACCATGGAGATACAGAATGGCGAATTATGTCTTCGTCTAGCACTTTGGTAACTTGGGATTTGACTTCTTTTTTGTGGATTTGGGGGTCCCTGTAAGATTTGGTGTACACAGGCTTTGCATTATTGGTGTCAATAGGGTGTTCTCACTGGTAAATGTGAGCGTGTCACCTTCCAGGTAAAAATGTCGGAAAAGTTCAGTTGTTGGTAATTAGTTCTTTTTCTTCGTCATTTAAATGTTCTGTACGAAGTTCATTTTGTATGGACATTTGCCTATCATATTTATGTAGGTATGCCCAACATTTTCCGCACTGTGGTATGTTTAACCTTTTTTCCATCCTGCCTCATGAAAGGCCTATGCGGATGTAGCTGTGTTTCAGTATAGCTCCTCTGCCTTTTGCGCATCCAGTGACATAGTTTGACGGTTGCCCAGTTTGGGTTCGTATTCGCTAATGTTGTCAACGAGTCTACCTATTTCTTCTCTGACCTCTTCGTTCGTGGCAGTGACATCCATTCTCCTTATATGGATGTTTTCAACGTTTCTGTTGCCTGTACGGGCTTTTATGACATCCGACGCTTCCTCTATTGCCTTTTTTAGTACTTGTAGGGATGTAGAATCTTTTTCTGTTGTTATAAGCACGTTTCCGTTTCTGGTCATTCTGAATGATTTGATGGTTTGGATAGCATCGTTTGTCTTTTAATTGTTTTAACAATATCCTCGTACTTCTTACCTTTCTGGCCGATAATTAGTACAGGTGGTGATTCCCGGTCTCTTTTTTGGCTCGTGGTCTGTATTCTGTTAGTGTATATTCTGACCTGTGATTTTCTTTAGCCTGTCGTTACTGCATCTTTCAATATGGTGCACTGCGACTCAATCGCCGTTCTTTGTCTCCTCTCTAAGCTCGATTAGTCTGTCTCATACTTAGGTCTCGTTCCTGGTCTCCTTGCATAATCTTAACGATTTTTGTTTCTGGTCGAAATTTCATCGCTCAGTTTCCATCTTGAGCTTTGCTCTAGAACAGCAAAGTCTCTATCTCTCTCGATGAGCTCCGGATACCTGTTCTTAAACATTTGTTGAATGCTGTTTTCCATTTTAGCATCTGACGGTTCTACAGGGACTGCTTTGACCGTGAAGTCTTTTGAGTTGAGGGGGTTACCCAGTTGCAGCTCCGTGTTCGTAAATAGCTTCTCGTTCCACTTCTTCTCACTTATTTTCTTCCAATCCTCGTAGGAGTTTATTCCCTCTAGCGAGATGCAAGTGTCCTCTTTTGTATCGTTCCATGCATAATAGGATCCGCACCTTGCGCATAGGGCTTGCGTTCCAGTTATTGGTTCTTCTCTTTCTGTTATTTCTTTAGGTGCTTCGGTCGTAACTATCTTGTGTTTTTCCGGGCTTGTTTGGGTATCTGTCTCGATGGTCATCTTTTCTATTTTCTCGAACCTGTTCTCTTCGAGTCAGTCTGATATTCTATTTTCGTTCATATTTTTTATTTGTTTCGCAAGTCTCTTTACTAATTCTTTGACCTCTTTCTTGGTGTTCTGTTCCAGGTATTTCTGCAGGTCTGCTCCGATCTTTGTGATCATGTCAATGGTCTCTTTAAGGGTGAAAAAGTCTGCCCTTTTTTTCTTCTTGTAGATTTCGCTGTCCCCAGTTATAGAGGTATTAAGCAATTTTCTTTTTTTTTGCATCTGCAGGGTCTGTGTGTTGGTTTGCGCCCGTGGAGTTGCTGGTTCTATGGATTCCTTCCTGCTGTCATCATATTTGAGGTCTAGGGAGGATCTACGTTCTGCGGGTGGCTTGACTTTTCTAGGGTCGGTTCCAGTGCTTAACTTTCTTGCAAATGCGAGTATTGTTGACGATTGCGATTCTACTTTGTCTCTCTGGTTTGTTCCAGTCATCTTTGTTGACATCTCAGCCTGGTTCCCTACCGAGGATGCCGTGCAGTAGCTGGCTGATGGTCGTGGCTGGCCTGCACTATCACCTGCTTCAACGACCAGACTAGAGTTCCGAGTCCCTGCTCCGTAAACGTTTCCTTTTTTCCTTTTTCTTGCTATGGTCCATCGTGGTTTAGTTTTGTTTTGTAAGAAAGTAGAAGTGTATTATAAGAATCAGGCCCTCTAGCCCTCGAATACCTCTAATAGCGTCGGGGGTACAAGTGAAGATGTTGAGCAAGGGAGATCTTATAGGAAAGAAGAAAGTAAGGGGATCTGAAGTTTGGGTCAGTTCAAGCTCACTGGTTCATTGTTTTGAAACCCCTTAAGTTCGCTGGCAATCTAAGATACTTAAGAGTTCCTTTCGAAATGTTGGAATTTCAAATTTTTCCATGTTGAGATTTTGACATATTGATCATTCGGGATCCCCCAAGCACTGTCAATCAATGCAAGACTTGAAGTCGAAATATTTGAAAATAGTCCAGTTGAACGTTAGAACGTTATCCGCATCTCGCCATTAATTAACAAATTTGTATCTCTGGACCTATAAATCTAAATGGGACAAGACCAGGCCAAAAATAATTTTTCACAACCTTGCATAAGGTTTTTAATAATTTCAAAGAACCAGAAATCCTATACATTTTTGTTTGTTAGATTTTTAGCACTGCCATCTACATCAATACGAACAAAGCAGTTTTTGTTACTGCAACATCCTCATCCGGAAGAAGAATTTTGTCAAGGCCAGAGTTCCATGGAGGACACCACCATATCAGACTCGATAAATGCTGATATGGAAGTTTGTGGTATTTTGAATTCTACGACTGATGAAGACTTAGGTAATCTATTGGTTATTTGAAGACAAAAATATAAAATAGTTTTTTTTTAGGTAACAAGATTTACGAAGAAGAAACTAAAAAGACTGACCCAATTGCCAAAGAAATCCAATGTAAGAAACATAGTCATAATCCATTCGCTAGTCTTAAGGCGAAACTGTGTTCATCCCACTTGCCAAAACCGGGTTATCTAACCAGAATAGCTGTGAATAAAAGCATAGGTAAGAATATACTTCAAAATTATTCTAGCACATCACATGATTGATATTTGTAGGATTAATCAGTAATGATTCTTTAAAACCAAAATCTTATCGTGATCACGCATCTAGCAACGGAGAATCGAGCAGTAGTATTTTCATGAAAAAAGCTGTAGTGGGTGAATCGAAAAGCGAGAAACATAGTCCGAAAAAGAGAAAGTGTGCTGGACAAGGCAGTTTTTCGAAATCAACAGGATTTTTGGTTGATAATCAAAAGAAAAAAGGTAAACATAAACTTATCCAAGAAGTAAAACAATCCTATTTTTATCATTTTAGGATTATGCTCTCAACTAAGAATCCAAATAAAAAGTCCGGGCAAAACAACTTTGGAAACCGATAGCTCCAATGAATACGAAAGTGAAACAGGAATTCCAAAATCGCCAACTTTATTTATTTCGGGAGTTTCAATATCTAGAACGCCTGAACCAAAATCTCCAGGTAACAAATTTTGGCCTGAAAATTCTCCGAGGTATTTTAAATTATACGCTTTTTCCAGGTATCAGCCTGATTCAGAACAGCTTCGGACGTCAATCCCGTTCCTCCAGTCTTAGCGTTCCAGCACCATTAAGTTCCTGTTCCTTGAGTATATCCAGCAGTAGTTTGAACAACAGCAACTCACTACCTCCAGAGCCTTTTACACCATCTTTGGTACGCTCCACTACTCCAGCTTCTTCCAGGTCGAATGTAACCACACCTCACGGAAGTCCCATGTCTGGAAAGGATAATGGAAAATCTAAGAGTGCTAGTGAGCCGGAAAGAGAACGAGAAATGTTTAGGTGAGTGTTAAATTTTAATGTAAATTATGGTAGAGGAACTCAATAGGGGTTTCTAAAAAGGTTTAATATGAAAAGTAGTTACAATAAGTATCGGTTCTAATTCAAGACCGTAATACAGTCCATAAACTGAGCGTATAAAGGTCTTTAGCGTGTTTCATCTTCATGTGGTTAATGGGCAGTTCCTCGAGACCCAATGTTTTCAATTGTATGCTGAATTCTGAAGTATTTTGCATTTTGCTTGTGCATCAAGAACATAGGAATGTTGAATAGCAGAAGACTTCCATAGGTTTTTCTCTAAGAAGTTCAATTTGTTGCCTCTAAAAAAATATTTCGAAAGGGCCATTTTCAATCTATAAGATTCCTTTTAACTCCTTGCTTGGACTCTTTTCTATTCTCACATGTCATGTAGATTTTCTCGGCCTTTGGAAATACAACAAGTTATCGGTTTAAATCTGTAATAATTTCGACATGGTTCTCGGATGTGTCTAGTTTGGTGAGTCCCGTTACTCCTTTTATAATATAGCCTAACCCGTTATATATGTCTCTTTTGGGTCTGAGGGTAGCAGTAGTAAGTTAATATCGTCAATTTTTTGGCGATCATAATTTTGGATTAAGTTTATAGTATTTATATAGCTGCTGAATTCACGAATCATGCTGTTATTTTTGAAAGTGTTCTTTAGGTTGTCAAATTGAAAATTTAGGTTTTTAAACTAAAATCACTTAACAATGGTTTTAAATTATTGTATTAGTGTACGAAGGTGTGTTCCGAACGTTGGAGTTTTGCGGGTCCTAGGTCGATTGGTAGGATTCCTGGGTTATGGATGAGGTCTTTGATTTCTTGGGTTATGGACGTGTGGATGAGGTGGATGGTCCTGGCAAGGATTGAAACGTATGTAAGGTTTTTTCTTGGTCTTTTTAGGTTTGAGAGATTAATATTTCCTGAGTATTACCGTGTGTTTTATTAATTTTAGCCGTTTGCAGTGTTTTATTTATAGTTTTAAATTTTTCGGGCTTAAATTTGTTTGCTGTTTTGGTTTTGCTCTGTTCTTGTTTATTTTGGACATAAATTGTGTCAAGAATAGTGGGCGTTTCTTCTCTTGTCTCATTGAAATAATCTTTTCTTTTTGTTTTTGAATGTTTTCGTTGAGTTTTTGATAAAGAATTTTGACTTTATCGCGGTGATTAGATGTGTAGTCGTTTATAAGTTTTGTGTTTATTTCTAGATCGAAAGGGGAATTATTCTTTAAGTGTCCTGTGATTATCTCATAAGGCTTCAGCTTTGTTACTGTGTGAATGGTGTTATTGTAAGCTTATAATGCGTAGTTTATTTTGCACTTTATGTCATCATTTTTGTACTTTTTTTGGTTGTTTAGAAGTCGAATATGCTCTATAATAGTTGAATGGAATCTTTCGATTAGACCGATGGATTCTGGGTGTTGAGAACTTATAAATTTGTATGTTTATTTTGAGTATTTTCAATAATTCTTTCACAACCGAATTTTTTATTGCGAGTCCGTTGTCCGAAACAATTTGCTCTGGAATTTTTGCTACTTCGATTCCTTGAGCTGCATTTAATTTGTACATTTGGACGTATTTTGAAAATTAATCTATAATACCTTATACTGGGAAATTTATAATTTTCAAGAGTTATGCTTTCAATGTGAATAATTTGGCAGGGTTCCGTAGCTGTTGGGGTTACATTTAGAGTTAATTTCAGGGGATGCTTGTCGTGTTTAGTTTTTTGACATAATTCGCATTTATTTATAAAGGTTTGAATGGATTTCTGTTGCTGATTGGGCCAATAAATAATATTAGTTTTTCTTTATACGCTGTAGAGTTTCCTCGATTCCACGATGATTTGTTTTACCCTCGTGGTAATTTCTTAAAGTTTGAAAAATTTCATCTTCGTCAAGGACGTTTTTAAAATATTTTTATTGAACAAAATTTTTCATAGATTGGGTCTTCAAAGTATAGATAGTTTTTAATTCTTGGTAGAAGCATTTTTACCAGAATTCTCCCTTTGCTTTTGTGCAACTTTATTTTGGAAAGTTGAACTGGCAAAAAGTTAACTTCTGAAATGATTATTTGGTGATTTCCGACATTTACTGGGCCTTAGACTATTGGGATGCCTACAATGGGGTTTTCAACATCCGAGTGGATGGTTACGTCACTATCCTCTATAGCATTTTTTTATGTTATCAATGTCTCCTGGCTCAGCGATTATTGATGCAATTTCTTTTTGATTTTGTTGTGGAGGGTTTTTCCCATTAATGCTTTCATTGAATTGGTTTATAAAGTCATTTAGATTAAAAGATTTTTATTCTTGAGACTAAGCATTTAGAGTCCGCGTCAGCAGTAAAGAGTACGGTGACGACATGGAAAGCTGCGCGAAGCGGGTCGGATCTCTCTCCCCCGTCTATCTCTCACTGTCTGCCGTGACCTCGGCCGTGAGCTGAAACCAGCAGCGGGGTATCTTTTTAGACAAAACTTGGATAGAAAATAAAGTAAATAAATATGCCTGCTGGCCTTACGACAATGAACCACATGCTTGGCGTTCGGCAGCAGCACCCATCAATACGATAGTTCGGTTAATCTTCAAAATTGGGTTTGTGCGCATTTGACGTCACCGTACTCTTTACTCTTGACGCGGACTCTAATTCAATCTTTGAAAGAGCATCTGCGTTTTTGTTAAGTAACCCTTTCTTGTATAGTATATAATTCCATAATCGAATAATTCCTGTAGTTTGAGTCTCCATCTTACCATTTTAAAACTCGGTTCTTTTGAAGAAAAGAACCATTGTAGCCGCTTGTGGTCTGTGACAATTTTGAACTTTCGTCCGAAAAGATATGGTCGAAAATATTTTACGACCCATATATTATCGCTAAAAGCTCTTTTTTGATGGTAGAATAGTTGGTTTCCCTAATGTTTAGGGTTCAACTCATGTTCAACTAGCATATGCTAATGGTAGGTCTGATTCTATCTTTCCTTGTGAAAGTACGGCACCTATGGCGAAATTACTGGCATCAGTTGTCAAAATAAATAATTCTGAAAAGTTGGGATATTGGAAATTCTTTCGTTAGTTAAAATGTTTTTACACAATTCGACACATTTCAGATATTCAGGGTCTTTGATGTTGATGATTGCATCTTTTTTCAGGCAGCTTGTGAGGGGTTTGGTAATCTTTGCAAAATCTTTTATAAATTTCCTGTAATATCCCAATAATCCTAAAAATCCTTTTATTTTTTTTGGTGTTTTGGTGGGATAAGATATTTTTGAATGGCTCTTTATTTTTTCTGGGTTCGGTTTTACGCCTTCTGGTGTTACTATGTGTCCCAGATATGCTACTTCTTTTTGCAATAATTCCGATTTGTCTAGCTGTATTTTGAAGTTAGCCTCTTGTAACCTGTTAAAAATGAGCTTCAATCTTGTTTAGATGTTCCTGAAGGCTGTACTAAAGATGATTATATCGTCCATATATAGGAACTGCACAAATTGCATTTCTATACCCTCGAAGAATGTTGTCGATGACCCTTTGGAAGGTGACAGGAGCGTTTCGTAATCCAAATGGCATTCTTAAAAACTCATAGTGGCCATTTTCAGTGTTGAACGCCGTCTTTTGGATATTTTCTTCTGCCATTTCTATCTGGTGAAGGCTAGACGCCAGATCAAGGGTTGTAAAGTACCTACTGACAGCGCCCTAGGTTGTCCAGTAGTTCATTTATATTAGGAATGGGATAGTGATCTTCTAATGTCTTCATGTTTACTTTTTTAGAGTCTATATGGCATCTGCTTTTTGGGGACGATCCATATGGGGGATGACCATGGGTAATGTGATGGTCTGATTGTCTTCTGATCCAGCATTTCTTGTGTGACAAAATTGAGATGTTATGTATTGATATTTTGGTAGCTTGAAGAGTTCTGTCACATCTTAAAATTTCGCGGTAAATTATTCTGAAAAGTAAATTTCATCTGAAGCAGTAAATAACAGTTTTCTGAACCGGAGGCAATCTGAACGAAGTCTTCCTTCTTCTCTTCTTGGAGTGGTTATTGAAAGGTTTTAATAGATACTCAAAATTAGTACCACTTACCACTTTTCTGCTGAAGCTGAAAACACCTTCTCTAACCGCACAAACAGGCACGTTAGATCTTTCTACACCACCGCCAGAGTTTTAATGGGAATTTTAAAACCAGTAAAGAAAAGACTAATTTGAAAAGGTAAGGTAAAACATAAAAAAAAAAACTAAAATGCCTTATTTAATTAATAGACCATCAACAATTTTTAAATGAAGAAAAATTGAAAGAAAAGAGAATAATTTCCCAATTAAAAGATTTAGTTCAAAATCTAAGACTTTATTGGAAATTGAAATTAAAAAAATAACTATCACCTCTTTGAAGAGCTTTCACTAAAACACCAGGCGGCAGATGAACTTCCTCTTAGCTTTCAGCGATTCGCTGAAAGTACCCTTTGGTTTCTTGCCGTGTTTCCATTGGTTCTCAAGTTTATCCAACCTTCCCCATCCAAAGTGCTCAACCCTGTGATCCAGTTTGATGGCTCTCCAACAGAATTCGCTACGTACATGTTGTCAAATTATTAATTGAACATTTACTGTTTTCCTTTTTAATTGAAAATCTTTCCCTTTTTCAATTACCTACCTAAATAAATGTATAAAATAAAGGTTCCCTAATTTCTATCCTAATTAAATGTATAAAATAAAAGTTCCCTAAATTCTAACCTAATTATCAAGGGTGTGAAATGATCTAAACTCTCTAATGAACTAAAATCTCTACTAATATAATAATAAAATAATTGAGTAATCACTCTTATCTTAATCTACCTATATCTTAATTATAACTAAGCATTTGACTATAGTAACAACCCTTGATAATTATATCGGGTCTTCAAAAAAAAAAACAATCAGAGATTGCTTTGGTTACGAAAACGTACGTCGCATTATTGTTTCTTTATTGGTCAGGATTTTTGACTAATTTTGACATGACA